ATGACAGCAGATCAACTCACAGCCTTGATTACTCAAATGACTACTACTATGACAAATGGATTCAATGGAATTAATATTCTAGCACCACCCGCAGCAGGAGGTTCAATCGTAAAAATTGACTCTTACTTCAGAAAAGATAGTGAAGATGCTCAAAAATAGGTTGAAACTTTCTTAAGAGCACAAGCAGCTAATGGATGGCCAGACAATAGAAGAGTAGTTATCGCAGCAGGAATGTTAAGAGGCGAAGCAGCTGACTGGTATAATCTAATTCATGGAGATATTGATCAATGGGATAGACATGCTAATACAGGATTCAGAGAAAGATTTTAACTCGATTCTCATCTCAAAAAAAGTTACATATGTAGTAATATGAATTAATGAACTTGAAACAAGAAAGAGATAAAGTTGAAACCTATGCATCTAGATTCAAGAAATTAGCAAGTAGAGGGGATGCAGGAGGAATCCCAGATGCCTTTAAAGTGCGAATGTTTTTAAATGGATTGAACAAAGAGCTAGCAACCTTAGTAGCTATTCAAAATCCTAATACATTAGATGCTGCAATCACTAAAGCGAAAACTGTTGAAGCAGGATGATATTATGCTACAGAACATAATTTTAGCAAGCCAAAAGATGAGGATGACCTTGAAAAATTAACTAAGCAGTTTGAACAAATGGCACTAAACCAAGTCAATATTATATCAGCCTTGACAACTAATAATGTTAAAGAAAGAAACCTAACTTTGAAAGAAACTTTGACAGGAAAGAAGTAATCTGCTTTAGATGCGGAGAAAAAGGACATATTGCAAGAAGATGTTTTTCAGAAAAAGTTATGCCTCAAGAAAGTTGGCGTACAAAGAATAATGACTCAAATAAAAGAGAAGTGAACATGCTTGAACAAGAAGACTTTCCAGCAATTAGAAGAAAAAGATCTGAATCTCAAAGAGAAACTACAACCAGGAAGACCAGAAGTAAACCAAATGAACCTATGGATATTACTGAAGAAATTCCTGAGACTATAGTCGATAACACTACTACACCTAGAAGGAGAATACCAAGAGGACCATCAATCTTAGATAATATCGAACCATATAATATTTGGGATGACCTTGTTAATATAAAAGCAAATGTCAATATTGGACAAATGATGCAATGCAGAGAACAACAAAGAAAACTTCTCCAAGGAATGAGACGACCAAAATTAGAAGGAAGTATGGCACAAACCAATCCAACAGAAGAAGGTAAAAGAACTATAGCATTGAGATGTCATGTTAACATCAAATGAAACTCAGTAGCAGCAATCATTGATACTGGAGCAGCAGTTAGCATTATAATGAAAAAACTAATGAAAAAACTTGGATTAACAATTCAAGAAGCATCGCAAGTGATTATTGTCACAGCTAATGGTCAATGAGAAAGAGCATTAGGAGTACTTTTAATAATTCATGGAATTCTTATCAAAACAACCTTTCAAGTCATCGAGTCAACAGATGAAACCTTATTATTAGAAATAGATTGGTGTAAGAAAAATAAAGTTAATGTAGACTTTGACAATAATGAAATGCTCATAACAAGTGGTCTCGACAAAGTTATTGTTCTAGTGTAATGTGTTGTAGGAAATAGAACACCAATATTGTATTTGATGAATAAATTAACCAAATGATTGATGAAGAATTGGAATACGATACTGATAATGATGCTGAGGAAAGAGAAAGTTATCACATTGAAACTTCAGATTATCAAAGTGATATCGATAACGAAAGTGAAACCTCTATACAATCCTGGGCAGATGAAATGGAAGAATATGAAAGAAGCATCTTACAAGAAGAAGCAAAGGACCCAAAATATGTTTTGAATATTTTGTATGATCAAGATGGCATATTTCTCTTGATCAGAAAAGGAGAAATTATGAATGGATTATGGCAAACTCCTGGCGGAAAAGTATACAAGGTAGAAATCCCAATGAAAGCAGCAATTAGGAAAAATGAAAAAGAAACAGGAATAATTTTCAAAGATAAAGATCTTGAATATTTATTCAATGACCTTGAATTTAATTGCAACGTTTACATTGTTAGTGATAGTCTAGTTATGACGAATTAATACTGCGTCAGATACAATTAGCGAATGATGATTCTGTCGATCATGGATCTCAACTTTCTATGATTTCTCTATTTTCTTAGTGATCTTAGCGATCTATAATATCTTATATATCTTATATATCTTTATTTCTTATTTATATTATATTTCTTATTTTTCTTTACTATATTAAATATCTATTTCATATTGATGTATTTTATATATCTTGTATTTCTGCCTCAATAAATGGCAGAGTCGCTAAAAATTCTCTAATAAATCAATAACATTTATCTCTTAACAATTATATCTTTGCTCAATATACAATTCCATACTTCTTTAAATCTATATCGATAAAGACGAACTGTTCTTTCAACATAATTAATCCATGTTTATTTCTTCCATAGTTTAAACGCACTTAAACTCCCTGTTAGCAAATAATCTTAGTTAACTTAACGATGAACCGTTTAAGCTAACAATATTACAAAAGTACCAAAAGATGTAGAATTGAAGCAAATCAAAAAAGACGAAAATGGACCATGGATTCATTTTGACTTCTTAAAATATGAAGATATGGCAAAACGAGAGAAAATTACTCCTACTCATACAAATTTTATAAATGAAATTCTGAACAGAATTTTATGGGATACCTTACCATATAATATTGCAGAAATTATTCAACCTGAAGTTGAAAAAGAAAAGTTCACTATAAAGCAACAAGAAGAAATTGATAATTTAATTAAAGAAAATGAAAGTAGTTTCATGACCAATATTTCTGAAACAGGGCAATTGACAAAAGTTGGACAAACTAATGTGACCTAACATCAAATTGATACCAAAAATGCTGATCCAATCAGAAGAAATTATTATTGAACTACAAAAGAAGAACAAGATTTCATTAATGGAGAAATCAAAAAGATGTTGAAAGAGGGAATTATTCAAGAATCAGACAGTCCCTGGGCATCTCCAGCTATTCTTGTAAAAAAGGCAAATGGCAAAAAATGTCTACGCATTGATTATAGAGGTTTAAACAACCTCATAAGAGAAGATGCGTACCCTCTACCAAGAATTGATGAGATTTTGGAAAGTTTGAATAGATCAAAATGGTTTTCTACTTTTGATCTAGCAAGTGGATTCTGGTAAATCAAAATGAATCAAAAGGATAAAAGAAAACAGCATTTGTTATCAAAGGAGAACATTACGAATTTAATGATATGCCTTTCAGATTATACAATGAACCAGCAACCTTTCAAAAAACAATGAACAAAGTATTGAAAGAATATATTGACCGATTTGTGGCAGTATTCATTGATGATATTATTGTCTACTCGAACAGTTTTGAAGAACATTGCGAACATTTACAAATGCTCTTCGATAAATTGGAAACTGCAAATCTAGCATTGAACAAGGAGAAATGTGAAATGTTCAAAAGAGAATTACGATTTCTAGGACATAAAATCAATGAACAATGAATCCAACCCGACCCCCAAAAGATAGAGAAAGTGCAAAACTTTCCTGTTCCAAAAAATGTGAGACAAATTAAAGGATTTTGGGATTAGCATCATACTATCACAAATTCATTAAAGACTTCTCTAAGATTGCGAAACCATTAAATAATCTTACAAAGAAAGAAGTTTATTATAACTGGAGCGATAAATGTAAAGATTCTTTTGAAATCTTGAAAGAAAAGTTAATACAAGCCCAATACTTTATATCCAGATTTCAATATAATGTTCTATTTATTTACTGATGCCTTTGTAATTGGACTTGGAGCGGTACTTGCACAAAAAGATGATTAAGGAAAAAAAAAAGTAATTGCTTATGCAAGTAGAATCTTGAATGAACATGAACAAAATTATAGTATACAAGAATTAGAATGACTAGCGATTATTTGGGCAGTCGAATATTTTCATCATTTCACTTTACTTAAACCTTTTATTTTAGTAACTGATAACGTCACTTTAAAATGGTTACAAATTTCTACTGTGAAAAATAGAACGAAAAGAGCAAGATGGTTGTTGAATCTACAGCAATATACATTTCAAGTTCAGCATCGATCTGGGAAAAATAATGCAAACGCTGATGCATTATCAAGGATTAACTATGAAAATGATAAAAGCTTAGATGAAGTAATTGAATGCTTCACACTTTCAATTGCTAGTGAAGAAAATTTTGCATATACAGAAAGAGAAATCCAAGGGAATATTTCATCACCTGAATATGAAGAAGACTTAGAAGAAAATGATCGATGGATTCAAGTACATTTTTCTGCATTAGATGTTTCTAGATGTCAGACAAAATGGCAATAGAATGGATTACATAACAACAAAAAGTATTGAAAAATCAGCTATAGTTGTAATGAAAATGATCATCATTCTCATTAGTATTGCACTGAATGTTATCAATATGCTAATCCATATGGAAATTACATATCCTCACCAACGGAACAAACTATTTGTCATTGTAATGAACATGAATATTATGTATATTTAAATATGACAGCTTATGAAGAGGAAGCAGAAAATGAACAATCACCTGAACAATTAGAAGATAATAGTGGATCAGAATTCAACTTCAGTGAAGAAGAAATGGAATCTATTCTCGATGGAAGAGGACAAGATTGAAGACAGGACTTATATGATATTTTCTTGAAAGCTGCTGAATTTAAGTAAATTACTATCAAACAAATGAATGGAAGCAAACTTGAAGAATTTGCTCAAGAGTATTCTGTCAATTGTACTCTTTATAGAACAATCATTACCACCAACTTAGACCATGAATGTATCGTTGGTTATAATCTTGGACAAATACATCCTGAAATGGTACCTGAAACTCTAATTAATGAAGTATTTTGGGATATACCAGAAAAGGTATAACAAAATGATGAAGCATGTCTTGCAGCATTTGAATTGTTGAAACCAATTGATAATCCTCAAACTCGTGATTGGACTGAGGACGAATTAGATGAAATGTTTGGACCGTACGCACCTATTATTACCCCTATTTACTCATCCAACTTTGATGAAACTCGTAACAGAGTTAGCATTCCAGATTATTAATTTTATTTTCATTTTAACATTTATTTAGTTTTAAAATAGTCAATTTCAATATTATTTATATATTTATTTTTATTTTTAAACTTATTTGAATAGCAATTAGTGAGTAAAAGTCTCAACGTTTGAAAAATTTAACTAAGTGAAAGCGAAAGTGTCAACAACGTGATTAATAGTTTAAGTTAAACAAAATGGAAGAAAATCGATATAACCAGTTAAAAGAATATTTAACTATTTTAATATTACCAAATGATAGAAAATAAGCAAATCAGATTCAATGACAATCAAAACATTTTGTGATTTTAGAAAATCAATTGTTTAAGAAATATAAGAATAACAAAGGAAACTTTCTTAAAGTTCTAAAATTCATGAAGTAGAAACAGTTCTTTATGTGACGCACAATCACCCGACTGGAAGACACTTAAGAATTGAAAAGGTTTTTGAAAAATTAGAGAAAACTATTATTGGCCGCAAATGTTTGAAGATATTAGGAATTATATGAAAGGATGTGACTCTTGTCAAAGAAGAGGGAAGCCCTCAAAGAAAACGTTATTATATCCTATACCAGTTGGAAAACCTTTTGAGAAAATTGGAATAGATTTCGTAGAACCTTACCACTTACGAATAATGGAAACAAATACATAATTGTAGCAATTGATTATTTAACCAAATGGCCTGAAGCAAGTGAAAACCTGCAGCTGATGCAAACACAGTTGTAGAATTTATTTATGAAAATATAATATGTCGACTCGGATGTCCAAAATATATACTTTCTGATCGAGGATCACATTTTCGAAATAAAGTAGTAAACAGATTAATGAATAAGTTTGAAATCAAGCACTTATTATCTACACCCTATCATCCTCAAACTAATAGATTAGTTGAGAGATTTAATAAGAACTTGTGTGAATCTATCACAAAGACAACAAAAGATTTGCAAGAATAGGATACTGTTATAAATTCAATATTATTTGCTTATCGAACTGCAAAAATTCTACTACCAAGTATACACCATTTTATTTGACTTATGGAAGAGAAGCAAGACTTCCAATCATCATTTTTGAAAATGAAACTTTGGAATCAAATTTAGAAGATTTAGAAATAAATCGACAGAAAACCAAAGAAAATGTTACAAAAGCACAGGAAAATCAAAAGAGACGGCATAATTTGAAAATAAAGAAACCCATAGAATATCAAATAGGAGACCAAGTTCTATTATACGAAGCTGAAAAAGAAAAGACTTGAACTGGAAAATTAGAAGATAAATAAAAAGAACTATTTTATATTCATGACAAATTGTTAAATGGAACTTATAAGTTAAGATTTACAGATGGACAAATTCTTAAAACACCAATCAACGCAAGTTTGTTAAAGATTTACAATGATTGACAAAATTGGAACCCTGTGATTCATTTGGAATAAATATTGTCAAAAGTATAAAAGAACCTGAAATCCCTTTTATCAAAACCTTAAATTTTGCAAAATGAGTTTTAAAAATTTCTAACAAATGAATCAGTTCATCAACAAATACAAATCCGATGTTGAAAAAGTTGAAAATGCAAGACATATAATCAAAGAAAATGAAGCCAAACTTCTTTCAATCATACTCAACCTTTGGGAAAGAACTAATTCTGAAGAATTAATCTCCATAATGGATGAAGTCTATCAAGAGAACACTGAGGTAGAACTTGTTAAAAGCGAAGTTCCTAAAGAACTTATTAGGAAAAGAAACACACAAAAGGAGTACGCTCAAGAACTTGGAATTACTCCATCGGCTTTATCCAAATATATTAAAAGAAGAAAGAAAGATTCTTCGATAGAGCTCAAACTAAAGAAGAGGGAAATGTAACAGTGTAAAATTTTGACTAAAATCTGATTACAAATCCAATGTCAATTAAATGTTCTTGTTTATCATCTCGTCGATCCTGATGTCAACTTTATGTCCTGAGATAATCAATGTGAAACATTG